TCTCGTTGGAAGAGCTCCCAGGATCCTGAGCCAATTGAACACACTGTGCAAAACACTGCTGTAAAAAAAAAAAATGGGAGCAAATTTCCATCTAAATACTAATGATTCTAAGAAAGAGGCAAAACTGTTGAGTGTAAGTCATACCTATTGTTGAAGAAACTCATAAAAATTTCTGATTCTATTCAAAGATCAGGTGATACAGCAAAATGTACAAGTCATTTCAAATGGCACACAGCAGTCAAACTTCGGTAAATCGTTTCTGATGCACAATTAAAATATATTGCAGCATTATGTTAATTATATTAAATGTCGATTCATCTTGAATGTATTATCAGTTGCCTAGCAAGAATTGGTATGATTATCATTTCTAGATCTACTGATTTTTTTCATCATGGCAACAGAAATTGACATTAAATAGGATAAGATACAACTATAAATCTTATTGTTTAAAAAAGTTCATAGACACATTCATAAAGTTTGAATTTAAAGTTTTGTGTAGAACTGTTTAATGTAAATTCCCAAACGCTCAATTCAGGTGGCATGATTTTTAGTAGAATATTATCCTCTTCAAGATAACTAGGTCTATTTCAACTCTAATATTCTATTTTTTTATTTTCTCACTTCAGGTGAGGATAAAGAATGGTGAATTTCATGTTAGTAGTAATTTTTCTGTTAAGATTTACATTTATCAGTAAAATGTGTCAGTGAAGAAAGGAAATAAGACTTTTTATACTTGAACCAAGCTTTATATTTTAAATCCCAAAAGAATGCTTCACATGTTAATTATTACTCTTAAGAAGTACAGAAATGTTTTAAATGCTTATTTTTTACTAATTTCAAAAATCAAAAATTATATCTCTTTGCTATAAAATAGTATGTGGTTTATTCTCTTATTCCCACCCAATTTTCTATCTGGCTTAGAGTATCCCATGCCCCCAGGAGGGCCGTGCAGCTTAGTTTTCCGCCAGTCAGTGGAGAGCTGGTGTCTGCTGTCCTGTCCCTGCCCTCTCCCCAACCCCAGGCTGAAAGGCATTCCACTGTCGTAAAGTACCAGGTCTGAGATTTTTATTCAAGTGTATTTTCTGTGGATAACTCTCCCTGTTATGAAACAGTTTAGGATATTTTTCTAATTTTTGTAGCAGCATGTAATTGATGTCACAATTTGTAGCCACTTATTTTCAGTAGCTCCTCACATGCATCTGGGGCACTAAATTATTTTCTCTTTAGAAGTATATGGAGATTCTGAATTAAACCATTAAATAAGCCTGCAGTTTTCTTCTTCGAAAATCTTCTAAGGACAGGATCAATTATTTAAATACTTCGGTAGAATAAAAAGGGAAAAATACTTTGGATAAAAGCAATATGAGAGAATTCTAGTGAAGGAGAATATTGATTACACTGACTTTTTTTGTTTGGCATTTTATGTTCTTAAACATCTTAGAGAAAAGTACTACAAAAATCTAAAATAGTAAAATTACTGGTATTTAGATACTCCAGTAGCAAACTCATTTTTTTATCTGAAACCACTTACCACTGTGTAATGCTGGAAACCAAAACGAAATTTTGTCCTTGAACAGAGTAAGAGACCAACCGCTGGGGAAGTGCAAGATGAACAGAAAGTGAGGACTGACTTTAACTTCTGCTTGTCTTCTTTCATGTGCTGATAGTTAAATATAACCGGATTCAACTCATTTTCCTACTTACCTTTCATTTTGGATTTAGTCCCTGTACACCTCTGTTCTTTTCTTGAAGTCAGGTTCTCGAAGAAGTGAAAGATAGACTTCTTTAGTCTTAGAAAGACTGCTTAAAAGACCTGAATGCCAGCTGTCCTTCTTGATTGCAAAACAAGGACAGGGTAACTACTCAAAATTTAAAGCGACTTCCTAGTTCCTACCAGGCAGAAATACGCAATAACTAATTAAATCAGAATCCTCCATTACTAAAATGACTTCTAAAGTCCGAGGGGAGAATAATGTAAAAATGACTAGTGAGAGACACTGAATTTATATTTCTATTCCTTGTATATATATGACTAAGATGCCAGATAAATGAGCCAAACATTTTATGCAGCTAAATTTATTCTCACAACAAATTACATTTAGATGTGTAATAGTGGTCCACAGTAAAAGGGGCAAAAAGGAAAACAAAGCGCTCTTCCAGGATAAACAAGCTGCTCTGGATGCCAGGGAATGCTCTCGTCCCTCCAGTGTCAGCGAGTACCTTTCCCTGAAGCTGAAATAAATTAAACTTCTCTTTACTGGCTGTATGACACATGTTAGATGGGCATTAGGTTGAGCCTGGCCAACGAGAGAGCTGATGGTTTTGTTAAACTGTGCTAATATCAGGGAGATGTTTTTCACGTTACTGATGAAATCCTGAACGTGTGTTGCAATGCCTATGAAATGCGTGTGCCGTACAAGAGGAGGATGAAAGCTTTGTGGCTTCTAGGAAACGGCCTTCTGTAGATTAGTGTTACAAGTGTCCATCCAGAAATCATAAAGTGGAATTTAAAAAAGTAGCGGTGCCACAGTTTATCACCGAAAACGTATTTTAACGGAAATGGGTCTAAGGTCCCTTTCATGCAATATGACAGACAACAAACAGTGGTCCTAATCTGCTATGAGTGACCTTACGTCAGGTGGGAACAAAGGGCATGTGGACGTGTGTGTGTGTCTCTCAGGTGGAAGCGACATGTGGTGAAGGATATAAAAAGGAAGCACCAAGCAGTGCCTTAGTCTGCAAAGTTTCAGCCATAGGCACGGTGGCTGTTCCCCTTGATGCCGGCAAGGAGCAGTACATGAGGTGGCAAGTCTGTGTCTATCTAGCTGCTTTTAAAAAATAAAAGGACCTTTAAGCGCTATGCCCTTTCTTCTACATATTCCAATAGAAATGTGACTATAAATCATTACAAAACCACCTTAGGCAATATATAGTTCACTGAGATTACTTAGGCCTGGATACACTGTGAGATGATATCCAGTAAAGATAATACATTAACACAATAATGCAGTATATTTCAGTAAAAATAGAATAAATAAAATAAAAATATTTTAAGCTGTATTTAAAAGGTTAATTAAAAATATGATAAGACATACAAGGCATCGTGAACATGGCTGCCTGTTTACCAAATCGCAATACAAAGAATGCATAGATAGATAACTGAAGTGTGGCCGAGACAGCAGGTAAGACGCCGGCACCCTTTCACAGATACACACATGCTCTCACACATACTTTTTGGCCATGGCAGAAAGTGTCTGAACATACTGTTTAACACAATTAATTTTACAAAATCAATTTGCACTTAGTATGCAAAGCCATTTTCAAAACAAAGTATCTGCAGTAAAGTTTTCAATATGTAAAAGGCTATCATTCATCTTAATGCACCCTATAATTGCATATATAAATCAGGTTGCTACTTAAAGCTAGCTCAGTATTCTTGATCCTGAAAATGAACAGATGCATGCCTTAAAAAATGAATGGGGGTTTGGTAGAGATTTCCAATCTAAAAGTGGACTAACATTGTTTAGAATTTGAAGTTTATCACACTCAGATGCTTAACTGTGGAGATCAAGATGAACAAGCATCGTAACTGAATTTTGAACAGCTTTACAAAGGGCATAGGTAAGGATTTTCATAATGCCACAATTTCTTCTGATGAGCATTTGGTTACTTCAGATAGAACAGTATATAAATTGGTAAAATGTATAATGCATTTCTAAAGCAGCAAATGATTTCAGCCCACCCCCATGAGCTCAGACGGAACGGCAGGTAGAAGGCCACCTACCTTTTCCATCGTGCTCTACAGTGGCTAAGCACCACGAGTTACGAATATCTCTGAGTAATGTCATCTCTGGAAAAATCTCATAGATTGAGCAGGCTGTATACTGACTGTAGCATCTTGTCCTCTACAATACATATGAGGCACACTGCAGGAAACCAGTCCTGGACGGAGAGAGGGCAATGGTTTAATAATTAATACCACTGCAAAGTGCTTTGGACATATTTCCCCCACTTATATAGGGAGTTCTAAGATTGCCTGGCATATTCCCCTACCTGCTGTTCTGTGTATATGCCCAGAGTCTTCTGGAAAGGCTCTTCCTGACTGCTGTGGAGGCAGCGTCGACAGAGTCAGAGCCGCAAGTGGGAGACACGGCCCCAGTCCTGTTCTCTCATTAACTTTGGTGAGATCTTAGGCAAGCCGAGTTGGCCTCTTGGTACTCTTCTGTTTTTATTTCCCAAGTGTTTGTACCTTCTCTACCTTATAAGGCTCAAATGTGATAAAAATGTGGAAACCATTCTGACAAGTGCATAGCAGTGTATAAACAAAGTGTTGCTTTTATAATTGGATGTTGTAAATGTTAATTTTGACATTAAGAAGTAAAGAAGACTAATATTGAGATTAATCTCCTTACTTCCTTTTAAAACAACAATGTCAATAAGAGTCTAAATTTGTATGTCTTCACAGCTAAGTTTCTCATCTACATAAAATGCTATTTTTGGGAAATTTGTTCAATAGTCCATTATTCCTATGTATATTTTGCTCTGATATGAAATCTCTAAGTCTTTAAAGTAAAATGGAAAAGATACAAATTTTAAAATATACCAGTTTAGTCCAACGAATTCTAACATTAAACACATAAATCAAAGAAAGGTTCAACTGAATGCAGTTTGTTGCCATGGACAATACGTGATGGACAGACAGCTTTCTGGGCAAAAAGCACTGGAGTAAGATCGAGCTAGATGCAGGATTCCAGCAAAATGTTTTCTTCCAGCATGTGAACTAATAAAAATAACATGGTGGTAAAGATCTAAAATAATCGTGTGTGACAGAAACATAGAGGACATTTCCTCAACGTCGAATTGCATATTGGCTAATTAGCAAACTACGGATGAAAGGTTTATGAGTGATATTCCACTGTAACGTTTATGTAGAGAATGGCCATAGTGAACTCTAATTCTCCAGCTGCACTGTACAATATAAGGCAGAAGTTTGAAATAAGTCCTACCCAAAATGCATTATGATTTTGTTAATCTCTTTTTAAATAATCAGTTTGAAAACCATCTAAAAAGAAAGGCTAGTTTTTGTTCAATTTTAATTCCTGAAATTTAGTTTTTCATCAATTTTAAAGTTTCATTTTTTTTCCAATATCCCACAAACAGCTGTAGACATGAAATGGTGTCCATGTGTCCCAGAGCTCGTCAAGGAAAGCTGCCAGTTGCTTGCTATACTGATGCCAACAACCAGTTCTGTCAAACAACATGTTCAATTTTATGGAAAACTAAAACAAAAACTCGCCACCCTATTTGTACAGCAGTTCAGCGGTATCTGCTGCGCAGTGTCTGTTCCAATGCTGAAGCAGGGCAAAGTGCTGTAGAACCCAACGGCTGCCTGTGACAGATCCCGCAAAGACCACAGTGACGCTGACTCGGGCATCGTCCACTCCCAGGACGCAACGTCAGTTCACTAGGAGGGATGCGGCCACATTCGCCCCTGTGTGTGTGAAGTTGAGTGATGTTCACAATATTTACAGTAAGAAAAAGACCTTCCACTGCTCATGTCACTTACTGACAGCAAAAAAATTACTCATGCTTCTTTTCATGTCACATGACGGTGGCAAGGCGAGAACATGCTTGTCTAACACTGTTTGGTTAAGGATAAATTTCTCTGAAGACAAAGCATCAGCAACGGAATGGAAGGTCAGATACCAGCTCATTTTCTTTAGTGTAGCCATTCAATCGTCAGGTAAGTATCACAGAGCCCTTTACCACACGCAGCTACGGCGTTTCCGTGACAGGGCGTTTCTGTTTCAAAGTGTCAATGAGGGATAAGACCCCTCGCTTTACGTTGGTTGTGACTCTCCTGGTCACCGAGTCTGCTGGCGGTGGAGGTGGTCGGACTTTCTGTGAGGGAGGCCTGGCCACCAAGCACTTCTGATATCGCAACTGAAATAAAGCAAAACATGATTTAAAGTAAATGATGATGTATTATTTCTTCTTCTTTAATATGACTTTTAAGTCATCACCAATACGTTTATTCCCCAAAGTTAACAACCCAGCTCCTAAACGTAAATCCAGGAGTTTATTTTTTTCTGAATGTGATTGTTTTCAATTGTCCAAAGAGATCATCAGGCTCGACCAAGGTGCTCTGGCATCTGCCGCCCTCTCCTTCCGTCCGTTTCTACCCTCTGCCTGCTCTCTACGTGGACAGCTGCGATCAGCGCACCTCACGTGCGAGTAACGAGCTAATGACACCGAGAGGGCTGGGAGAGAGCGTGCGTTTCTCATCAGACGCTCATCTTTCAGGCGTGTGCTTACGGTTCACCGAGACAGCGCGGCAGGAAGGGCGTAGACTGAGTCTGAGCTCGATCACTGCGAACCCCAGGGCACGTGGCTGAATCTGAGCTTGAGCTTCAACTACAAAGCTGCTGAAGAACAGAGACCTTTACAGAGGCCGTTAGGATTAAACGAGGAATATGTGTGGATGCCTACGATGGACCTCGCAATGCAGAGGCATCCGTAATGTTTGCTCCCTGCCCTGTTTCCTGCTTCAGTGAAAAAGGAGGACACATTAAGGTTTCAGGATACGTTTGTATATACAAGTCTAAGTGCTAATGATTAATTACAGAGAAATCCATTTGCACTGGCACCACGGACAATATTCTATCCTTCAGAAATACGACAATGTTGTTCATCTGCTTCTGTAGTAATGAAAACACAAGTAATTCTTCAAAATCAGATACAAAGTTAAAATTCATAAAATGTTTTTTCCAATTCAAGCACAGTTGACCCTTGAACACCTCGGCTCTGAACCGCACAGGGTCCGTTTATATGCAGATATTTGCCAACCAAACTCAGACTGGAAATACAGTATTGGTGGGATTTGAAATCTGAGTACGTGGAGAGCCGACTTTTCACACACAGGCCGACTGCAGGGCTGAGCATGCATGGATTTTGGTGTACACAGGGGTCCTGAAACCAATCCCCTACATATACTGAGGGAGGACTGTAATTCCATGGCTGATTTTTAAAAATCAACTTAATTAATAATAGGTTCCTTAGTCCAGTTATGGACCAGGCTGATATCTCCCCAAGAAGCATCAAGTGTCTACAGCGAGACTTCCAGGGGAAGCACGTACCACTTCTGTTGTACCCCGTAGGCCAGAGAACTAGCCCCTTTCAACTCAAGCATCTGAAAAATGACGACTTACTACATGTCTCCTGTGTGAAAGGCATCTCGCTAGGTCTGCCTTACACCGAAACCACTCACATCCAAAGCACGGGCTTATACACGGGCAGGGGTGGCAACACAGGCCACTAGACTGGGAAGTTCAAAGAGCAGCGATGTCACCCAGCGTGAGTCACAATTGCTCCTGATGAATTTCATAATGGATCTCTCTGTCCTATTCTAAACGTCACCAAAATGTCTTCGGTTGGGCCTATACCACAGGTAGAGGTATGTATTAGCTGTAAAAGATCCAGCTAATATATGCTTTTTAAATAACATATCTTTTTTAATTAAAGCTGTGTATATTAGCTGTAAAATATACCTAAAAATTAAGTAGATTCGAAAGAACGTGTTAATGCCATAGATATTTCAGATGTTACAGATTCACACAGATATTTCAGATGGAGAATCGCGCAGATTTGAATCAAGAAGAAAGCCACCGAGTCAGAAAGCTGGATTCAGAGAGTGGAGGGAAAAAAGGTTTGATTCCACCAGTACGCCTCGTCTGCGCTGCTTCAGCTGGTGGCACTAATACAATTAAAACAGGAACCAAATGAGTGAAAGTTTTTTCCAAGAGGGAAAATGAGTCTGAGAATCAGAAAACAAACTGTAACCAAGTGATAAAGCTAATTCTTTTTTATCATCATTTAAAATGTATAATTAAAGCCGAAAGCCATTCGTTTGACGACTGAAACCATCTACTATGCTCCGTTTCAATTTCGTGAAATACCTGAAGAGTTGTCATCTCCTTTTGCCTGACTGAAATCTCCCGTTTTCTATTTTCTGCACATACCCTTCCTCCCATCTGGACTCCCTGCACCTGGCCGGTCTGTCCACCTGGACTGCCCTCCGCCCCGCCCCTCGATCCAGCCCTGCACCCCCGTCGCGTGCTGACTTAGCAGCCTGGCCCACCGGACTTGAGGGGAGCTTGGACCCGGAGCAGAGACGGTGGGAGGCACAGGTCCGACAGCAGGTGCACAGGGCCGGGTCTCTCCTTGCCTGTCTCCCTCCTTCCTGCTCCATCGCAAAGGAGAAAGGTCAGCCAGCTCTTTTCCTGTTCCTCACCTTTGCCCTTTGTCCTCCCGCCACACCCTTTGCCTCCAATGTACTGTTCATGGCGGGGGGTGGGGGAGGAAGAGAACCTCTCCAGCTTCCCTTCCCTGAGCTCCGCCATCCCTGTGGCCTCAGCCTCCGCAGCCTGTCTCAGTGAAGGGCTCTCCGACCTCCACCCAAGGGGCAGCGCAGCCTCCCCTCGCCCTTCCACCTGCCACCGTCTTCCGGGAGACCCTACCACACCTGTCTGTGCAACCCCACTGCACCCCAGCCTCACTGGCTTGTTCCTGCAGCTGAAAAAATGTGCAAGTCAAAAAAAAGAAAAAAAAAAAAATTAGCTTGCTGTGGTTGGGAAGATCGCTTGAGCCCAGCCTGGGCAACATAGTGAGACCCCATCTCTAAAAAAAAAAAAAAACCACAACAATGTGCAGGTCTCCTTGGTGCTGAAGACAAACCAACCCCCGGTGTTGCCCTTCACAGCCGCGCTCTGTATGTCCTCTCAGGCCTCCACGTCTTCCTGCCTGATACTTCTCAATCCACGCGTCTCTTACTTTCATTTACGGCACCTTCTACACTGTCTCCCCCACTACATCTCAGGTCCATCCTGCAAAGTTTGCGTTGCACTCACCCCGAACGCCCGAGTCCAGCCCACCGCGATGGCCAGGATCACGGGAAGCACCGGGCTTCAGATGTGCCCAGCCAGGCCCCCTCCGCATCTCGAGTCCCCTGGGGCCGCCGTCCCCGCTGCTGCTCTCCTGGCTCAGCCCCTCCTCAGCTCTCTCACCACCACTAGTCCACGGGCCCTGGCCGCTCTCTGCCTCGGCCTTGTCCCTCAACCTTTGTTTTTGTTCCTGGAGTACTCTTCTAAAACCCGGCATGATCAAGTCACTCCCCTGCTTGACCGTCTTTGCTGAAAAGAATCAGACCTTGGCGTGACACCGCAGGCCCTTCCTGACGTGACCTCGCCTCCTCCCACTCTGTCCCGGTGACCCCCCAAGGCCCCTGGACTCCACAGGCACGCAGGCTTGGGTGCCTCCGTTCACAGCCCCTCATCCTATTGGAACCTGTTCGGTGCCGGGCCTGACAGGTGCTCTCAGGATATACGTGGAATGATGGCGAGGTCGTCCTGCTTGTCTCAAATCACACACGTGGCGAGAGCAGCCTGGCTCTGCTGCCCCGCAGACTTGGGGGTGGACCCCGGCTGTGCCCTGGGCCCATTCTCTGAGTCTCTGTGTCCTCGTAAATAAAACAACAACTGTCAACAGAGTTGTTGTAAGGAGTTAACGGATATAAAAAATATATAAGAACAATTCATTTAAAAAACTATTTGAAATAAAAAGCCTTCGATATATTTCTCTTCATTTTTTAAGTGCTAACTGGAATCCAAACAGTACCAACTCATGCATGATCGACATTTCTTAATCACACACTGAAATTAATCTGGGACCAAGGACGGATAATCCTCAAACGTGTGGTTTTGAAGATCATTCCTTCCAACATGACCGGAGCCTCTGTCCAGCCCGGCCGCCTGCAGGGGCCCGGGCCCTCCGAGATCAGTCTGCTCATCACGGCCGATTCTGGCCCCGGGAATGGGGGGTGTGGAGCGGGGCGCTACTTTACAGATTACGTGTTTTCACCTGGACGAGTGACTTTGCTCCAACTCACGGCACATGAAAGGAGAGCGGGCGCAGTGGAGCGGCTCTCGGCGCCGGCTGACTCACCATGCAGGCGGCCTGCACCGCCTCCGACACGCTCCCGGCGTTGGGCTCGCACCAGAAGACGTGGCACTCGAAGCGCTGGTTTCCGGTGTCCATGATGAAGGCGAACGTGTGGACGTCCTTCCCGACGCCCATGAAGGACAGGAACCGCACCCGGCACTCCACCAGGACGTCCTCTTCACTCTGCAAGAGACAGCGGTCAGCACCCGCCCAGAACCGTCACGCGCACTTTCAGATCTCAGACAAAGCGGAGGATCCCGCGCACGGCAGCAGCACAATGGAACTGGTGCCAGAGAAACAGCTGGCCTGAGCTCATAGAGGACTGGTGCTTTTAGAGAGGCAAAGCTTCGCCTAAATATCTGGAGAGGCCATCACTGCCCTGGGCGTCTCGCCCTGGCGGGTCACCCTTGCTCTGAACCCCACTGCTGCTGGGGGACGTCGCGTGTGCTCTGTTCTCTCCATGACGCCAGGAGTCACGAGTCTGCTGCGGGGAGCGATGACGTCACATACACTTTTCTTACATCTTGCCCAATGCGGGACACCCAGGGCCCAAACCCATTAGCCCGGGTGAGCCCCCCGAGCAGCAGCAGGAAAGGATTCAGTCTCTCTCTCCAGCCAGTTCTTCTTACCCAAGTTAAACAGCACATAGAATTACGTTTCCGTCTAAAACCACGTCAGACAAAAAGCTGCCAAATCAACCAAGAGTTGTTAAATCATTTCGTTTCTCCTTCACAAACGTGTCCATACGGTAGCCACGTAAGGTGGCGTAAAGACTCGTCTGGAATCCATTCTTGTGGTTATGAACGCCACATCCCTCGCAATGACCGCAAGCAACTTTGGGATGAGTAAACGCATCCAGAATGTCAACTTTCGGATCATTAACGTCTTGACTCACTTGGGAATGAGGAAGTGTTTAACGAGCAAACTACACGAGACAGAGAGGTCGGGAAGTTTTCCCGGGAGAAAGGGTGCTGCAGCTGAGATCTGGGTGAGGGCTGGGTCGGCAAAGGGGTGGAGCCCGAGGGAGCGGCCCTGGTGGAGGCGGGAGGTGGGACGGCTCGTGCCGGGCTTGAGGGGCTGCGGCCGGAGAGGCAGGCAGGCCAGGAGCATCCTGTCCTCTGCAGAGGGCGAGCGGGGCTGGGAAGTGACCTGCTGCTGGACAGAGCAGGAGCGGCCAGACTGCAGCCTTGCCACGGCAGGTGCGTCCCAGAGGCAGGAGGAGGAGCTGTGGAGTGTGGAGACAGGACGCCTGGGTGTGAGTCCCGGCGCCACCACTTCAAGTGTCAGACGTGGGCCATTACTCGACCTCTGTGTGCCTCAGTTTCCTCAGCCACGAAGCTGGATAATAGGGGCTGAGCCTCACACTGGCTGCTCTCAAGATGACCAGCGGCCCCGTCTACTAACAGGCCAACCACAGCACTTTCCCCGAGCACCTTCCGTGCCGGACAACACAGCCTAGACGACGCCGGCGCCCTGAGAGTGGCCAGAAAACCAAACCACGCCAGGGGCCACTGCTGGTGCCGCATGGTCAGCTCAGCTAACGATTTCGGTCTGTGGGCGCACAAGGAGGACAGCACGGAACGCAAGTTCCCGAGTCCAGAGGAAAGCAGACGCACGCAGATCCAGACCCACAGGGCGATTCTTTGCTTAAACAACGTGGCTGTTTCAATCACAAGTAGGGACAATGCCCAGGAGGTCAAGCCACAGAAAACTGCTGCATCGAAAAGCCACTGTAACCCGGAGAGGCCGACGGCGTCCACGACCCCTTCTCACCTTTTCGCTGATGACGGTCACGGTAGCGTCGGCCACGCTCATGTCCACTGACGGCCAATCCTCCCTGTCGGATGACGTCATGAGACTTTCTATGGCACTGTTCAGGGTGTCCATGCCTGCGGATCGAAAGAGTAGCTTAAGACATCCTAAAACCATTCATCGCTCTCAGACACAGACCTGAACCGCTCTAGCTGTACCCAGACCAATCTTTTTTTTGGAGCCCCAGGAGAGAAGAAACTTCATTCTCATATTTGCTCGAAAGAAAAGAAATACTGTCTTTCCCAACAGAAAGAAAGGTCCCCAAGAACCTCCAGGGGCTTGGTGCGGGCCGAGCTGTCTAATCAGACCATGGTGCTCCCGCCTCTGTCTCCGTCTGTCCCTGCCCGGCGCCTGGCTGTGAGTGGTACGGGCTGTTTGCTGCAGCCGTCGGCTGAGTCCCCGCAGTGGTTTTCCGGGGGCGGGGGTGGGGTGACAACTGTACTGAGCTACCATTTGTATATAATTCAGGCCTGTAGACTGTGCAACCCGACAGTTTCCAGTATATTCCCAGAGTGCAACCAGCACCACAATCAATCTTAGAACATTTTTATCACCTGCAAAGAAACCCTGTACCTGGTGGGAGTCGCCTTCCATTTCTCCCAAGCTCCTGAGCCCCAGGCAGCCACCCCCTGCTGTCTGTCTGTGGGGATTTGCCTGTCTGGACGTTCCATAGAAATGGATTCATACAGTATGTGGTCTTTGGGGACTGACTTCTTTCACTTAGCACAGTGTCTTCGAGGCTCATCTATGCTGTGGCGTGTTTCGGTACTTTATTCCTTCTTATTGCCAAATAAGATTCCATTACATGGAAGTATCACGCTTTATTTATCCAACTGTCAACTGATGGACATTTGGGTTGTTTCCACTCTTTGGCTATCGTGGAGGCTGCTGCTGAGAACATCTGTGCATGAGTTTTGTGCACGGATGTTTTCATGTCTCTTGGGTACACGCCCAAAGGTGCGACTGCTGACCAGAGGGAGCTGGTGTCACCTCCTGAAGAGCTGCCGCATTGTTTCCCGAAGCAGCTGCTCCATCACACCTTCCCCGCCAGCCGCGAGGGAGGAGTCCGTTTCCTCCACACCTTTTCCTAGCCCAGGGACAGCTACGTCGCCCAGCCGCCTTTCACAGCCAAGTAATGGATTTCTGCTACTGGGATTGAGCTAAGTCCTCTGTGTGCCACTTCTGGGTCAGGTGAAGGGAAAGCATGAGGTTCCCTCCGCCCCGCTCCCAGCCCACTAGTTGACAAGGAGAGAACAGGCATCCTGGCCCCAGCGATGGAGGCCCCGTTGGAGAACGCAGAGTCCTTCCCCAGCCCCGGCTTGGCCATCTCGGGACTAGACGGCAAATGGGAAATACACGCCTGCTCGTAAAAATCCCTGTGTTCTGGGATCACGTGTCAAAGCAGCTTAGCCTGTCCTCTATTGATCAGGACTTTTACATCCTCTGGCTGGTGACAGGGTGAGGACCTGATTCAAGACAAGGCAAGAGTAAAACAGCAGCCCTCACCCCTTCAGGGGCGAACACCTCCCACGAGCTCCCAAACATTTGCAGAGTGGACACACGAGAAACGTTCACGTACCGACTGGTTTGTCTACAGGCAACATGCCCAGGTACTGCACGTGGAACTTCTGGACCAGCTCAGTCTTTGGTGTTGGAAAATCTACTACAGGGAACAAAAGCAACATCTTTCTCAGGGGTTCCGACACACACAGCAAACAGCCATCGCTCTGTCTCGTCCCGAACGCTCAGACCCCACCTGTGCCACAAGGTCCTGTTTCGGATGTCAGCGTGGCGACGCTGGTATGAGAACAGGATTTCTTACTCCAGATATCGGGGCGCTGTCAGTCAAAACCCCACTCGACTTTCAGTTCAAGGAAGGAACACATTTGAAAGCAGCAAGTGACGTCTGTATGTTAAAGCTGCTGCTGTCTCTTTGGTGTGTGCTAAGTGGCAGCTTCTGATGTCCCATTTGTTAGGTGTGGTGATGCCCAGGGACATTTTAATCACAAAGGGTACAATCAGAGACTCAGGAAAAATAACTAAAGAGTCTCCAGAAAAATCAACCCACACATTTTTAAATGAGCTGGTCCTTACCCTGGGCTGCGTGTGAACTATAAAACCACTACAGACGATATTCCATAATCTCGTCCAGTAACAAAACTCATCGTGGCCCCTCGTGCCTGACCGCAGTGACACAAACTCGACCTGCACCACTGCAGGGCCCGGAGTGCAGCTCAGCGCGCTCGTTAGCCGAGTCTGCTTTCTAAGGAGACTTGAGACACCAGAGAACCAGCTGAGACCCTCTGGTCCTTGATACAGAGAGAGGGCGCCACCAACTACCTTGCAAAGGAACGTCGAGGGTGACGTTTGTCCTCTCCTGTAGGGAGCTGCAGGCCAGGGCTTTGGCATTCTTCCGTTCCGCCATGATCTAAGGGGAGAAAACAGCGTTGGTTCGTGGTTACAAGTCTTCATGTCTTCGCCTCTTCCAGCCCAGAAAGTGTCTGAGCTGATGTCACTCATCGCTTGATCCCCCCCATGTCTCTGGGCTGAATGTTTTGTTTGAGAATGTTGCTCATTTTCCCAGGCACAGTAAGTGAACGGCTGTTCCTCAGACTAACAGTCTCCGGATGGGGTAGAGTTTACTTCTTCCACACACCAGGCTCCCACCTCTATTGAAAACAACCCAACGCACGTTCCTTGTTCACGCGTGGACCTGGGCCTGCCGGCCGGTGTGACCAGTGGAACAAGAGCAGTGACGTCCCCCCGGGACTCTGGATGCCGCTAGGTATTGTCGGAGCTTTTGTGTGTGTGTTTTCCACGTGGGGCCGAGACCTATCGTCGGGGCTTTTGGAGACAGAGTACACGGTTCAGATCACACCTCGGCCACGTACGAGCCATGTCTCTGGGCAAGCACCTGACCCACGGGGATGGCGACGGCGTCCACGTCAGAGGGCAGTGCTGAGGGTGACGTGAGCACGGCACGCTCTCAGCAGGCCCAGACGGCGTACGTGCTCAGAAACGCTGGCTGCCGTTGTCATCGTTATTCTCAAACTGTTCCGAATGGCCTGTCTCCTGTAGGGATGCTGATGTCCCCTTTACTCAAGAGTCGTCACTCCGCACTCCTGTTCTCCACCAGTTATACGGTGCGGGGGGTTTAGGGACTGAAAGCAGCTCACCCTTTAGTGACCCCAAAAGGAACTCGTATTTTTATTCCCACTCTAAGCTGTCCCCATTCCAAGTGGAGCCAAAGTCATTTCCGTCCCAGAGCTGGCATGTGTCTGCACACACGTGGTGCTCAACTATATTTGGTGCAAGGATGAGGAGCATGAAACCCAGGGTGTGTGCGGCCATTGCTGTCAACGGCACGGCCGTGCTCGGGCCCGTCAGTGCGAGAACATGGACGTGGGCTGAGAGAGACGTGGTGACCAGCACCCACCCTGCCCGTCCCTCCGCGTGGGTTGGAGTGGCAGACGGGGGGCTCTCTCTCGCATCTGGGGGCTGGGTCTCGCCCGCAAAGGGACAGGGGAGGAACCTTTCTCTGAGACTACACTTTGCAGATCTCAAGCAGGCACTGGTGGGTGCCAGGGAGGAGGGTTCCAGATCAACAGGAGAAAGAACTCTAAGAACCAGAGCCGCTCAGTAACGGAACCGTCAGGGGGGTCTATGGACGTGCAGGCGGAGGGTGGGGTGTCTGCGTGCGGAATACTGTGCCGGACCTTCTGTTCTCATTCCGAGGCTCTGTGACCCTGGTTAAGGATGTGGGACCCTTGACAGCATGAGACAGTGACCGCAGCCCTGCCTCTCGGCTGTAGGGAAGGCGCCGTGAGCTGCTGTGTGTCCTCGTGGACTCCGCGCCTCAGCGGCCTGCGTTTCCAGACACCCGACGGCTCCTCACCGCCCTCCCCTTCCTGTGGGTGCTCGCTCAGACCAGGGCCCTGCTCCCGGAAAATCGCTCTGACTCCTCCTCCCGGTTCTGGGCGTGTGCACACCCCCACCAGCGCACCTGCCACTGCTCTGCCCGCCTGTTCCACAGCTGCACCCCCAGACGGGGAGGGTGCACGGCTCGCCTCATCTTGTGGACAGATGCTCTCAGGGCGACGCTGGCCCATAGCATGAGCACCTCAGTGCTGCTGCTAAACGACCCGCCCAGCCCTCCCTGAGCTCCGCGTGTGGTCACCGGGCCGCCCTCCTGCTCTTCCACATCCCTTCGTCTCCCACGGAGAGGAAACGGGGGCCCCCGTGCCTGACCCACCTACCTTGGAGCAGATTTCGTGGAGACTCGTGGCGATGGCTTTAGCTGGAGTGTCACATCGAAACACATGACATTTCAAAATTCTTGTGTCTTTGTCTCTTGCTACATAAGCAAAATCCCTGCGCAGACAGAATTCATCAGTCCGTTAAAGGGAGGAACTGCTCACCGACACGTGCTACCAACGTTAACCGAGCTGGCAGCCAGTGTGTCGGGGGTAGAAAGTACACACGGTGACTGAGAAAGAAAATTGAACCTCAAAGGCTACCTAAAACAGGGCAGTTTCGTAGTTTCTGAGTAAATAACTACAGTGTTCTCCAAACTGATCAGCCGAACTCCTGGAGTCACTGACAGCTGTCAACGAAAACCGAATTTCCCAGAACTCTTCCAGCTCATGCAGTGACAACACTGACGTCACGGCTGTAAAGCAGACGGGCTCGAGAAGAGCACGAGTTGCACACGAGGAACAAAAAGCAGAACCACGGGCTCTGACGTGTGCACACGCGCAGACAAGGCGCTGGCCCGCAGCTGGCTGGGAGCGCAGACGGGCAGCGTGGGGACTGCCAGAACACATGGGACCGTGGGCCAGACCCTGTCACTCGATCCCGCAGAACCGCCCCGACCACAGCCGCAGTGGGGCCCTCGGCCCAGGCGCCGGGTCAGGTGCCCTTTGCTGAGCTGCCCACGGGCCCTTGAACCTCAGCCCGACCTCGGCCCCTGCCCTGCCAGCCCTCTGCTTCCTCACGTTCCGGCTCGGCCGGCATCCTCCATGCTAGAACCAGACGCCCCCGGCCTCACCCTCCACACCCAAGCCCCATGTTCACCCTATTTTACCTCCTGGAAACTTCCAGAACCCAGCCCCCCAGCATTCTAAGCAGGTTCTCGCGTCCCTGCCTTTGCTCAGGCCGTCTCCACCCAACACACAACGTCTCGCCGCACTCAACTCTCTTCCCCTCAACTGCCACGTTCAGCCGTCACTTTCCTGAGGCACAGTCTCTCTGAAGCTCCCTACGGTCACCCGTGCAAAGTCCAAAAGCCTCTGGATTTTAAGAGTTCCACGACTTGTCACCCCAACTTTCCAGCACCGTTGCTCCAACCCAGGAATGCCCCACTCTGCTCCAGAAGAGGCGAGTCTCATGTCCACGCGGGGGCGTCTCCCTTGGCTGGTGACCGCCAGCCCTCCCTGCGCTGCCCAGAGCACACCTGTCCACTCCGCACGGCCCGGCGCTAAGGCCTCTGGGAACTGCTTGTGTCTAAATGTATTTAAATTCTGTCCCAGAAAGGATAACGGCTTGTTGTGGTCACTGTCCAGGTCTCAGCTGTGCCCGTCCTCTAACCAACCAGAGAAGGGCAATGAACGGGGATTCAGACAAATTCAAGTTTCGTCCCTGGTCCCACTTAGCTACATAACCTTGCCATGGAATTCAAGCTCATCTTTAAGTGAAAGGGTTGAAAACCATGATTTTAAGACCGCTTTCTGGCTCTGACGTTCTCCAAGATCCATCACCCTCCTCGACTGCTGCAGGCTTCCCCAAGCTACAAGCCCAGGTTACCCACAGGGAGGATGACAGGGCTCGGTCCGATCAAACGTCAGCTCTGTGCCCTCTGTTCTGTCATATGTCACCCCTTAGGCTTATTTTTAAAAAAACTATTATTAATCTTCATTTTCTTCTGGCTTGCAGGAAGGTGATTAATGCCTTAAGGGCAACCATCTGGAACCGTCCTCTTCCCAAAGGAGGAACCCAGCAGCCTCAGGCTTTTTGGGAGGGAGTCTCACAATTTTTTTTTACAGCCTTGTCTTTTCCTGCTTCCTTCCAGGTACAGGCTAATAGACCAGGGGACACAGACCTGTCAGTCCCTGACAGGGAACCAGCCCAGGAACTAACCCTCCAGGGGTTTCATTTGCTTCCCAGGATAAAACAAGTTTTCTCCTCTCGCCGTGGAGGTCGAGAGAATTGCGTGTCTGCTGTTCTATCCTGAGCCGCCCTCAAGCAGCTGAAAGCCCAAAGTGTGGAGATCTGAAGGAGGCAGGGAGGCCTTTCTGACCTGGAGCACAGACAGGCTGAGTGACTTCCTCTTGCACAGTGAAATAGACGGCCAATGTCATTTCATTATTATTCAGGATGAAATCCAAACATCACTTAACTGATCGTTTTAAAAGCTTGGCTTTTCAGCACCTGACTTCTGAAAAAGGCCACCGCGGGAGACAGAATAACGACCCCCCTTCCAGAAACTTGTGAACGTGTTACTACCTCACACGGCAAAAGGGACTTTGCAGAGGGGACACACGAAGGGACACACGAAGGATCCTGAGATGGAGACAGTCTCCGGATTTCCCGGGTGGGCTCAGTGAAATCGCGAGGGAAACAAGGAGCCATTTTCCTTCTGAAGGAAGAACAGGAGGCCGAGGCTGTGGGCCGCCTCTGGAGCAGGCGCAGAAACGGATCTCGCCCTGCCAGCCCTGTGATCTCAGCCTGCAGCACCCAGTGCAGACGTCTGTCCTTTGCTCGGCAACTGCCCTGACAGCACCGGACGAGCAGCCGCCTGTCTGCCCACACCTGGGCCTCGCCCCGCTGGTGTCCTGCAGTCACGGGACTCGCTACATTCTCTTCCGTAAACTGGGAGGTGGACCGTTTAGAGCCGTGGCTCCTTGTGTCTTTTCCTCAAACTGTAACAGGAAAACCACCTTTTGCCATTTGCTTACTGAGCCCTTGTGTTTCCAGCTCCGGTCCTTTTGCTCTTCTCCCCAGTAATCATTCCCCCAGAGGACCAGCCTTGAGTTCTGCCGGAGAAAAACGTCAGCGCTAAGACATCTTATCTGACAGCCTCAGATTTCTTAATGGCAAAGAAATAGGACCAAAGATTGCTTTTCTTATTCTCAATTGCACAGCATTCTATTAATAATCATCCTGTAGTAGCTTAATCCTTCTTTATGGAATGAATAAATAAATGATTCTTTATTCAAGTGGGTTCTATTAAAAAAAATAGCCAAGACACGAGGCCCAGCATGGGTCCAAAGTGGAATTCGGAAGATGGGTCTATGTGAGAACAAATGGTAATTATGGGGCTCTGGGCTCCACCAAAATGTGGACCATTGTATAAAGCCTGGTTGTATAAGGCCTGTTTTCAAGATCACATGCTCTAATTTTCTTATACTTTGAAAATCTTGATTGCGGGGTGGAAGGCACAGGGAAGAGAGAGAAACGACATGAGAAATTTCATCTTTCTAGATGGCCAATCCAGAATGTTCCACACACAAAAACAAGACCTTTTTTTTAGCCCCATGTCACATGCACCACAGACAGGCGTCACTAATTTCCCACAGCTCAGGCTCTAGCTTGGTGAGCTTAACTTTCTTTCTCCTCTGCAAGCTTAAGAGCTGGTAAGTTCTTAACTTCTGAAAGGGGACTCCCCACCACTCAGCACCTGCATAAACACACGTTCTCAGCAGGGAATTCTTTACCAGGTGCTTTCACGGGACACAAAGATTCTGTAAGGAGCAGATGTGAAATCCTACCACCTGCAGCAATCAAGGTGGCTTGGGCAAACCAGAACGTCCAGCCCTCTCTAGAGCGGAGTCTGCTGTTAATATTCGGCACAACTGCCTCCCAGCGCAGAGACCAGAACAAACAACGAGGGCAGGAGCTAGCAGACATCCGAAAACATCCTCCCCACGGACTCGGACGGGACTTGTGATTTTAGCTGAGGGAGATCGCACCTGCGTGCACGGCCCTCATCCTCCAGAACCTTCCTCCACCTCCCCATGCCAGGGCTCCTCAAAGTGATTTGAAAAATCAATCAAGCTTGCAAATTTTCCTCACCACAGCCTCTGGAAGACCCATCCTGGAAGTGTAGCCCACCCAGTCTGTGCGGTCTCTTTCCCTTCTGACACTGGGCGACAAGGGCAGCTCATCGAAGGGGGGAAACGGCCACCAGCAGGAGGAGGTCACGGTGCTGTGGTCGGAGCCAGGGGAAGGTCTGCAGCAAGCCCTGGGAGGACGGCGCTGCCCTCCCGGCGCCCATGCAGGCAGGGCTGTGCCTGAGACTGGCTCCAAGGCAAAGAGGAGGTTGCTTCCCGTCTCCGCACTTGGCCCGCAGTGACCACAGTCATTTGTTTAAGGAGAAAAATCTCAAAACTCCCTTCTTCCACCAACGTGGTGGGAAGGAGACAAGCTCTGTGCATCTCGACTAACAATGATAATGAAATTGAGTCAGTGCTTCTGTTAGCAGCCTAGGGCCAAACCTTACCAACGAACCCTAAAGGATACGTAACATAAGCACTAATATTCAATTTTCAAGAAGCATGAAAAGCCTCTTCCTGCAGCCTGGCACGGTTACGCCCCGGCATGCTGATCAGGTTTGCTCGGCACGGCAGTGGGAGTGACCACGTCACTACGCGAGTCCCTTGGCCCATCACCTTCCCCCGACGCCGTCAAACACAGCGGAGGATCAGGGACCCGCATGCAGCTCCAGACTCTGTTTTAAACGCTGGTGATGAAAGGTCACACAGAACAAAACAAAGACAAGGGTGCTCTCTGCCGTTAAAGACAAGGATGGCTGCGAGGATGGCAGTGCGCAGGAAGGAGGCGAGCTTGGCCAGACATGAATTAACAAGACACCACGAAGGGGAGAAGTGAAAATCGGTTGGTTACCTCTCTCTGAATCCGGGAAGGCATGAGGGAACAGAGCAGAAACAGCACGTTAGCATCCACCCGGCATCCCGCAAACAACACAGCCCCGCCAGCAGCAACTCCGAGCACTGACGGCCCGTCTCATCCCCAGCTTCGCAGCAATTAATAGCCTTTCAGTGCTTATTTTAGCTGAACTCTATCACCCAGAAGGGTGTATTTTGAGCCACGCTACAATGAAGCCAAGAGATGCCAGCTGAGTTTACAGAGGCAACATATCAGCCGGGGGAGGTAATCGCACTTAAAATATCTCAGTCGAATGTGGGAAACCGTTTGCAGTAAACACAGGACGTGTCTTGGTGCTCCAGTTCCACCTGTCCCAGCAAACATCCGGGAACAGTGGTGTGGACACCACCTTACCTGTTTCACCGACACTCCCGACAGCGTGTTAACAGAGGTAGATATTGAATCATGTTCTTCCACGGAGACGACCC